TTTTTTTAATAAAGTTGTATTTTAAATATAGCAGTAGCCATCTAATATTGTTGGTTGATTGTTTTAATTATTTTAAATTCGAGGGCTAATATTCTCTGAATATAATATAAAGTCAGAAATCGAATTAATATTTTTGAACAATAACCTGCTATGATGGAATTATGCAATTTTGCATGATTAAATATTGTAAAAATACCTGTTCTTTTTTTTAAAAAAAATATATTATAGCAGGGTGAGACCTGCTATGAAGATCACACAAACAGGGTTGTTAGTGGTGGCTTACCATGGTAAGATACCATAAATTACTTGTATTAACATGAATTTTGGTAATAGTAAGTTATCACTTGTAAGTTAACATGAGTTTTGGCGTTAAGTTATCACGATAAGTTACCTGTAATTTAATATGAATTTTGGTAGTAAGTCATCACGGACAGTTACCTGTAAGTTAACATAAATTTTGACAACATGGTAAGTTACCTATGAGTTTCCTACGGTAAGTTATCTATAAGTTAATATTTTGATCAAATGCCTGTTTGAAAAGTTCAGCTATTAGAAAATTTCAGGATTAATAAATAAACAACAGGGCTGTTAGTGGTGGATTACCATGGTAAGTTACTATAAGTTACTGTAAGTTAACATAAATTTTGGTAATGGTAAGTTACATACTACTTGTAAGTTAATATGAGTTTTGGCGTTAAGTTACTATGATAAGTTACCTGTAATTTAACATGAATTTTGACAGTAAGTCATCATGGAAAGTTACCTGTAAGTTAACATAAATTTTGGCAACACGGTAAGTTATCTATAAGTTAACATTTTGACCAAATGCCTGTTTGAAAAGTCCAGCTATTAGAAAATTTCAGGATTAACGAATAAAACAACAGGGTTGTTAGTGGTGGCTTACTATGATAAGTTACTATAAGTTACTGTAAGTTAACATGAATTTTGGTAATGATAAATTACCACTTGTAAGCTAACATGAGTTTTGACGTTAAGTTACCATGATAAGTTACTCATAATTTAGGCAGTAAGCTATCATAGAAAGTTATCTGTAAGTTAATATGCTACAGAAGTTACTTATGAGTTTATGAATTTTGGCAGTAAGTTACCTATAAGTAACATTTTGACCAAATATCTGTTTAAAAGTTCAGCTATCAGAAAATTTCAGGATTAACGAATAAAACAGCTGGGTTGTTGGTGGTGGTTTACTATGGTAAGTTACTATAAATTAACATGAATTTTGGTAAAGTAAGTTACCACTTGTAAGTTAACATGAGGTTTGGCGTTAAGTTACCACGGTAAGTTACCTGTAAGTTAATATAAATTTTGGCAACACAGTAAGCTACCTATGAGTTAACATGAATTTTGGCAGCAGGTTACTTTGAAAAGTTCAGCTATCAGAAAATTTCAGGATTATAGACAGTTGATGAATAAAACACAAGTTACTTGTTTGAAAAGTTCAGCTATCAGAAAATTTTAGGATTATAAACCATTGATGAATAAAAACACAAGTTATTTTATTAGTAACTTTGTTAGTTTCATCTCAACCAATTATATTTAAGCATTCAAAAAAAGGCAGGTATCTACATTATAACACTTAATTATTTAAAAATTGTAAATGATTAGATTTAATTAAAGTAATACATGATTATGTCTATAAATGTGGTAGAAACTGCTAGAGCTTATACCGTAACTATTATGACATGGCTTAAGTTATAATAGTTTCTACCGCATCTCTAATGATGCTTCAAAGCCTGGCTATTTAAAAAAAGCGCATGCACCAAATCAAGCATAAGAGGCTGATCAAAATGTTAAGGCTTTAAATAGTAAAACTGAGATAGCGATAACTTTTTTGTAAAAAGTGAAAAGAAAGAAAAGGAAGCATAAGTAATACGGCAATATTAAAATTGGTGAAGTTTACTCATAAAAGTCCAAGGCGCAACAATCGGGTCGTAAAAAAATAACAAGAAAAATGAAATAAAAAACTTGTAAATAGATAAGTTAGTTAACTTTACAAAATAAATAAAATAAATAAATAATAAAGCTATATTTATAGAGACAAAATTTTTTTAACTCAAAGAAAAAAAGCTTATTTGTAAAATTAACAAGCAAAATAATAATAATTATAAATATCTGATCCAAATCGTTCTATATTCACTTGGTAAAAGCTTTTTGTCTTAGCTTTTAAAATGAGTTTCTCTGACCACGATTATGATGGCTATGATAAGGATCATGACAATGATTATGATAATAACTATGATAATGATAACAATTATGACAATAATCAAGATAATGGTAATAACTACGATGATGATACCATTAATGCTATTAGCATCCCAAGTAAACGAAATTCTGAGAGCGAGGTGTGGGATTACTTCAATAAAATTATGTAGAAAAAAGAACAGAAAATGGCTAAATGTAAAGTACAAGGCTGCATTCATGAAGAATTTTCTTGTGAAACTAGTGGCACAATCACACCACTATGGCGGCACTTAGAAGGAGCTTATTGGAAGCAGTATATTCTAACAAAGGAATATTATAATAAAAAAAATAAAACACAAAAAGAATGTGAAACCATTGAGGAATTATTTAAGAAGGTAATCTGCTTTTTACTATACATTCCTACCATGTTATAGTCACACTCAATATAGTCACAACCTTGTTATAATCATGCTATTTTTTAGTTTTAGATATTATAATATATAAAATTTAACCCTATATAGTCACAACCTTTTATAATTTTCAAATTTTGTTTCTCAACCTGGTGATTATGTCAAGGTCTAACCATTTTTAAACTGATCTAAAATCCAAATAAAAATATTCGAAAATTCTACAGATATCTCTAAAAAAATTGATAATGTGAAGCTTTGTGACATGATCGCTATTTGGATTATCAATCGACAATGTCTAATTTTTATAGTTGAGGACCCTGAATTAATTGAAATTTTCAAGTATATGAATCCCACAGTACAACTAGTCAAGGCTGATGCAACCAAAAATACAATTATAGTACTTTATAACCATGGGAAAAGAGAGTTAAATGTAATAACAAGTTTTTTTTTAAAAAAATCAATATATTGAATAGCATAATTTGAATGCAACTCAACCTGCCATCCAACACATAACATTACGGATCCACAAAGTTATGTGATTGTGTTAAGTAGCAGGTTGAGTAACATTCAGATTATGTATTCAACTTAAGCTTTCAATTTTGCCTAATGATAGTATTATTTAAGATGTTAAATTTTTTGATTTTAGTTAGTATTTATTAAATATCTTCTTTTTATTAGAACTTAATTCAGATGTATCTTTCCAGCATCAAATCTAAAATATCTTTTATGACAGATCTATGGACGTCTTCAAATAATAAAGTATTTACTTCTGTTACCGCTCATTATATTGATGAAAGTTGGAAGCTTCAAGAGATTATTATTAATTTTGGTTTGATGAGTGGTAGACATAGTGGAGCTAATATTGCTAATAGATTTTTTGCAGTATTAGAAGATTATAAAATCATATCAAAGGTACATATATGCAGAATTGGAATTAGTTATAGCGCCTCCCAAAGTACTAGTCATCTGATATGCAGCACCAATATAACAAATATTAATGCAATTTTACATAATCATTACAACTCTTTTCAACCGATCTTTAAAATTTGAGTTCTGTAAGTTCATGAATACAACACAAATAGCCAACTTATGTTCACTATATTTTGTAAAACTTATTTGTCAATAATAGGCACTATATAAATAATTAAAATAAGTTCTACGAAATATGATTAAGTTGATATGACTACCATATTGCAATCATAGGACTTACGGTACTTATAGGCTCAGAATTGCAAAAATCATTAATCTAACTAAATCAAAAAAGCTATAAAATAATTAAGCTGCCTAAATTAATTTATTATTGATTAATATTACATATCTGTTAGGTGATCAGTAAGGATGGGAAATTTGGTATAATTAAAAAAATAATATTATATTTTATAATACACGTGACCCTTGCTAATATTAACCTATTTGAATCACTTATATTAATTTTAATAGTGATATTAATAAAAGATTATATTAAAGTTGATATATATGAGGGAATTTTAATATAATTTAATATATAGTAATTTATATTATTATTTAGATTAATATTACTAAAGTTAATATTAACGTATTATTATACCAATTTTCCTATCTATAGGTAACAAAACTACTCAGAATTACCACCAAAATTCGGCTTTCACATGATCAAACTCCAAATCTTGAGATCAGACAAAACAAAAAAAATCCAAAACAAACATACGTTTTGTCAAAAATCGCTTATAGCTCAAATTTCGCATAAGAAACCCTTTATGCACTAACAAAAAGTTTTTTTCTCACAATTTTACTATTAAAACTTTTAATGTTCATAATACGGACGCTAAACAAATTTAAAGATTTTTTCAGTTATCACGTGATAGCTGAATTTTGATATGATACTGAGAAGATTAGGAATATATTCGTGAAACCATATTATATTTTAATGATGCTAAGTTTTTAAACTTTTTTAACAGCTTCTTGCGATTACTCTAGACAATGCCACAAATAACGATGCTTTTGTGCAGGAATTATCGTTAAAATTAAAAAAATCAAATATCGAATGGAATCCAGAATACTTTCAGTTTCGGTACTTCAATCATATACTTAATTTAGCAGCACAGGCTGCCTTAGATTATATAAAAGATATCATTAATAAAGTATATATTATTATAAATGAATATTATTTTTTTTATTATACTAACAAAAAAAAAAAAGTTTGAGAACTTAACTCTGCCATCCGTACTTCACTCCAACATCTTGAGCTCCTTGAAAGTACCTGTAATGCATGTTAAATAAAATTTATTAAACCTATTTTGGATTGCCCTACTCACTGGAACTCGACATTTGACATGATCAAGAATAGTTTATTTCTTAAATCAGTAAGAGTGTGATAAAAATTAATACAAATCAGCAAACTCAAGATAAATGGGTATGGTGGCGAATTCAATAGAAATTCTACAAAAATTATTTAATTTTGATTACTGGTTATAAGATATTGGCATTCTGATACTTTATATCAAAAATTTTTTTTAACAAGTTAATGCATAACATTCGAATACCAATATCTCATTATTCAGTGATTGAAATTATGCAATTTTTGCACCATTTGATTCATCTTATCAAGATAAATCAAATGGCATAAAAATCGTCTAGTTTGAATCAATATGTCCAAATTAGAGATGTGCCATTTATATGATACTCGAATTTTTTTTGTATACATTACGTACATTATATACAGTACGTATAGTACGTATAGTGCACATCTAGCGATTTGATTGGCTGGTAGAAAGGATCAGCAAAAATTTTTGTGTACAGTACATATAATACTATACGTGGCACATCTCTAGTCCAGACTTACAATAGCTAACCACAATACCCCTCTTCACCACAATATCTCCTTTTACTTTATATAAAGCCAATTTTTATTGCAGATTTGTATTGATTTTTAGTTGAATTTTTTTATTTTACTCAGTGAGTTCCATATAATCAAAATACAAATTCTAACAAATTTATAGGCACTTAATGCTCTTACTAACTCTCGTGATGATCTTTATAAATATACTATTTTACCTGATCAATGGATTATCTTGGAAAAAATTGCTGAATTCCTTGAATCATTTAAAGATCTTACTGTTAAAATGTCGAGTTCAAGCAGTATAGCCTTTTGGATTATTCCTCTTTTTAATATTATTCTTAATTATGTTGAAGATACATCTTCAAATACTAAATTAGGTAAAATTTAATATAAAGTAGTATACTTTGAAATGTCACAATTCAGAACAGCTATATGATTTCAATATCACATTAATTTGCACTGTTTCTAAGCTCTGTTTGTAGATTTCGCGATATGCAAAACTACAAACAATGCTTCAGGATAGTGCGAATTTATGTGATATTTTTATCTATTTCTGTACATTACATGCCTCTGTCTTCAAAATATTACAGTCTACCCTTCATATAGTCACTCTCTATATAGTCACGCTCACTTTATAAGCACACTAATTCTTAGAACAAGCTTATATCAAACATAATTTAATCTTTATAAGCATAATTTTTTATAAGCACAGAATTCCTTGGAACTGATGGTGTGGCTATAGAGAGATTTAACTGTATTTATATAAAATAATATTTACTAACAACAAATTTATTTATTAGTCCAACCACTTGTTTCAGCTGCTAAAATAGAAAGAGAAAAGTTAGTTAAATACTATTCTAAAACAAATGCAACAATTATATTGTGTACTGTACTTGATTCACAGCGAAAATTTCATTATTTTATTAAGAAAGACTTTCCTAATCATGAAAGTGATAAAACCAAAACACTGTAAGCTAATATTTATTTTAGTTTTTAACTTGTAATATACCAAAGCTTATTAATAAATAACGGCCTATATTGAAGAAAACATACTGCAGTACGTGCAAATCATCTAAAGATATCCCAAATTGCTACTCTTCAGTGAATATTCTGATTTCGTAAAAACAATACTTAGCTCTATAGTTCTGTATAATATCTACCAAGCTAAGTATTGTTTTTATGAAATTTCAAATATTCGTTAAATAGTAGCAATTTTTTTAAAAAAATAATCAGTAAAATTTTAAATATAATTATCATGCTTTTCAAATTACTATGATCAGCAAATTTTATGTATCACACTGGGAATCAGGAATCTAGAAAAAATGCCAGTACATGATTGGCTAAAAAATCAATCAAATAATTTTTAACCAATCATATACTGGCATTTTTTCCAGATTTCTGATTTCGGTGTAATATATGAAATTTGCTGATCACAGTAATTTGAAAAGCACAGTATTAGTAATTTTTTATGTCTTTAAAAAATTTTATTCATTATTGATTCTGCGGCTGTATTATAGTATCTGGTGACATTTTTTGATATCTAGATGGTTCACACCATATGCAATGACTATCTACAATATATAACCCATAATACTAGTCATTAAATGACAGATTTTTTTAAATATACATAATCTTTTTTTTTAAACAATGGATAATAATAATTGTTTTATTTAGAATGTGTAAACTCTTTGAAACTGAATATGCATCAACTTCTAATGCTGATATTTTATTGAGCACATCTTTTAATAATATTATGAGATCATCTGCACGGTCTATGTTAGATAAAGACTTTGATAAAGATAATGAAAACCTTGATGAACTTAATCATTATATTGCTGAAAAACTAGTCAATAAAGAAGTTGATGTATTAGGATAGTGGAAGGTAAGCATTGTTTTAAACCAACTACTCAATTCAGCGGATTTGCAACCTTGTAAAATTAGATTTTGCAAAATATAAATCTAGAGTATTTAGATAACTACAAATCTGCAGAATTAGCTTAATTAGCATATATACTTGTTAGTTAATTTATACTGATTTATTCATGATTCGCTATTAATTTGTGATTATTTTCAACTAACAAAGTATTTTATTTACTATTTCATATGATAACATCACAAGAGCTTATATTATATAGTCATTAGGCGTGTAGTGAATAATAACTGCAGTTATTTGTCAAAGATTTGTTAGATGCTATTCGGCCACTATCGCAACCAAATAGCATCTAACAGATCTTTGATGAATAACACAGTTATTGTTCGCTTACACGCCTAGTAATGATATTTATTATCCTTCTGTCTACGATGATCTGCATATAACACTCTTATGTTATTGTGATTGTTAAATAAAAAATAACTAAATTTTTGATGGATGCAGATCATAGTAGACTAAAAGATAATATTATTTATTTCTAATAATCCTGGAAAAATAAAAAAAATAAATTTGAAGCTGTGATTAATGCGATCATAATAAAACATTGAATAAATAATTAATATCATAATATTTATATAAATTGATCTTATATAATATTTAGGCAAACCAGACAAACTTTCCTCGACTTGCTCATATAGCTTGTGATTATTTAGCAATTCTTGCAACTTCTGTTGCCTCTGAACGCACCTTTTCTGCAAGTAAAAATATAATCATAGATAAAAGATCTAACCTGGTACCTAAGACTATGAGAATATCACAATGTCTCCGATTATGGATACAAGGACCATTAAAAGAAAGTTTTGTGAGTAAGCTGCAATAAAACTATTTGATCTTGCTTATGTAAAGTTTGAAATATTTATATAAAAAAGATAGTTATTTCTTTTAAAAGTTAATAATCTTATATGTTAGTATATTCAGCAGATATCTTCATGTGTTATTAATGCAAGTGGTTTAAATTTTAATTATAGCTACAAGTGATTCTTCATATTTGTTCATGTTATGATAATAAGAAGTGCCTCCATGTATTTTTAATACAAATACTTTATCTAATTTAATTTTTAGTGATTTATTTACAGTGCTTTATGATCACTAATCGCATGGCAATCTTAAAATTCTTTGTTTTTCACATATTCCTATTTAAAAACAATAATTCTAATAATTACCAGGCAAATTTAGATTTTATAGTATAATATCGGTCTGATATTAAATATTGTAGTTAGTTGACCAAGAAACAATAAAAAATTTAGTTTTTTTTTGTCTAAATTTCTATAAACTTTGAGCGAGTTATCATAATAATATTCTATTTATTTTTGTTGTTCAAAACTTATTTTCAAATTCTATATGCTAGTTGAATTCGTAAATGGTTCTAAACATTGAAATTTACTAGTTATAATTAAGAAATTTTCATTTGAAGTTTGAACAAATAGCTGAGTTTACTAATTTTCCCGCTTCACTAAAAATTTATTAATAACACAGATATTGCAATATGTAAATAATTAGTAGAACCAATCAGAGAAATTAGTAAATTCCAAATAGCCGATATTAGAAATTTTGAAATTTTTATAAATATACTAGCTTTCTTGCAGTTAAATAAAGATATTTACAAATTCCATTGATAAAATAAATTATTATACTAATGAACTAAATTAATTTAATAAAAACTTGATGAACAGAGAACTGCTAGCATAGATAAAAAATTAGTAAGATGAATAGATATATAGTACACGAATTATTACTGTATCATACAGTCGACACTGACTAACTGCATGCTATAAAACCCTGAGCAATATGTATATAGATAGCTAAAGGATTTGTAAAATAATCAAGTGTTCATATGTTTGTATATTTGTATAAGTGAGCCAATCAGAATGCTTTTAACAAGGACACATCATAGAGCTTTAATAGTATATATGAGTGCTGCCAAGAGAAAACCTGTCGTAGGACTTTCAATTATATTTTGTATACAGTAGCTATCTATGAAAAATCTATCATAATGATAGAATTTTCATAGTACAAAAAATATAAGTGAAAGCCCTACGACAGGTTTTCCCTTGGTGGCACTCTTATATAGAAATAGATATAGATAGATAGATATAAATATATAGATCTATTAAAATCGAAGCTGATATAATTTCTAGCCAATTAGATGTTAATATTCTTATTCACGATTTTTAGATTTCTGTAGATATGAAAATTTGTTGATCACAGTAATCTATAATCTAAGAATATCCTTTTATTTTACAAATCTGATTATTTGGTTAATAGATATCTTAAAAAATCTCTAGACCTTTATTTTACAAAGCAATTATCGTAGTATTTCAGTAATCTAGTAATACAAGTCTAAAAATCGATACTGGGTTATTTAGGAACCAAAACTGATCCAGATACTTTAATAAAATGAGAATGAATTATTTAATTATCGAATGCCAACCTGAATGAAAAATAAAATGTGAAAAAATGACAAATATCCTTTGAATACTCTATGAAAAATTATGTATCTTCAAAGAAATGGTAAATCATAAGGTATATGCAAAATAAAATTGGTAGTAGCCAAATTAACAAATAAAAGGTGACAAAAATTTATCTATTTCTATTTAGTAGCCGATTAATTGCTAGTTGGCGTATGGGCAAAAGTTTTAGATAGATTAGTAGAGCAACCAAAATTCAGCAGATTAACTAAAAAATTTAGTTCAGAATAGGTCCAGTGCAACTCTACTACAGCAAAATTACCATCTGGGCAGCTTTACTTAGGACGTGGCTATCATTTTATTGTAAAATTTTGAAAGATTTTGGGAGAAATTTATTAACTCCATAGTGAAGTATATACAGCATTCTTTCAACATAAGCTACAGTAAAAATTTTTCATGTTTATTAATGTTTACTCATTATGATTAATTTGGTACTGCTCACTTTATCGAAAATCATTTACTGAAAGTTCATCTAGCCGCCATCACATAGGGATAGAGTCAGTATTTGATTAGTTACAAGTAAATATCTTTTGTTATAAGCATGATGTTAGCTAAATGAGCTATCTGTGGGACAACTGTTAACAAATCTATGATAATTTGATGTATTCAAAAATATTTAGTAATTATGATTAAAAAAACTCTATTTAGGAATCTATAAAAGAAAACTATTTAATAATAAAACTCCATAGTCAAAACTATTTCTAGCAATTAAAATTATCTATATACCCTGTTCCTAGTTTTAGCAGACTATGTCGCGCAGCTACCTAATTGACTAATTAAATACAATGATTTATGTAGTTTTATAAATGGATTCATAAGCGATCTATAAGCAAATTATTATTAAAGCTAGAAATTGATTAATCAAGTATAATCATACAATCTAATTTTATCAGAAATTATTTAATGATTGAATAAATTTTGTGAAATATTATCATTAGTTTTTATAATTACCAAAATCAAAAAATTCGCCTATATAGTAGTCATTTATTATTCGGTATATAAAATTAGTTAAGTAAAAATTAAGCTAAATTTTTTTTTAACCGAACCTGAACATGTTCACGAACATTTGAACTGAACCCAAACCAAACTCAAATATGTTCCAAAAGTTTGATATTGAACCCAAACTCAAACTATTTTTTTGAATTAGTTCAGTTCAGGTTCGGTTCAAAATTTAAACCAAATCTGAACTTGACTCTAGGTTTGGTTCGGTTTGGGTTCATAGAAACACTACTATTGATATATATATCCATCTCTTGTATTTCTGTATCAAATAAACTATAGGACAGTTCATCTGAGATTCATATTTGGTCAATTCTTGTACTTGTTTCTCTGTTCAACCATATGTACTTTTTCACCTTTGAGTATATAATTTTGTTGCTCTTTCTGTTTTGTTAGAGTCATTTGCAATGTTTTCTATTGCTTTTGTTGAGTTTTTGTCAATTTTGCTTCTGCTTGTTTTTGTGTCCGAGTGATCATTAGGGAGAGTGTGTTAAATAAAGATTGAATTTTTGTATATAGTAATAATATTAGTAGCATTTTTTTTTAGTTATATAATTATTAGTTTTTTGTCTTTTA